AGCTGGTCAAAGCCCCCGATGATTTCATCAAACCTGAGAGCAAACAGACCAAGGAGGGAAAGGGAGGCAGGTTGATGGACAGGCAGGCAGGGGATGGGGTGCTTGGATTGGGCCAAGAGGCTGACTCTTCTAAGCAACATGTTCTGGTCAGGGGTGAGGGAGATCAACAGTTGGCAGTGTCTGTTCATTCCAGAGAACTAAAGAAAAGGTGCTGTGGATGGACCAATCAGAAAAAGGCATCTTCTCTGCTGATACAGCTCCCTGACTCTCAGAGATATTCCTCCTTCCCCCTCAGGGGTCCCCCTGGTTTAAAGTACTGGGTTTGAGGTGGACAAACATGCAGGATCCTTATGGACACATTCAGCCATTTCCATCATACCTTCAGAAGATGCCCAGCACAGAGTAACCCCCAAAGAATGGAGCCTAAACCCCACTGAGATCCTTCACTTGCTCTGCCTCTACACTTCTTCACCTTCCACTCTGTCACAGGACACTGCTAGGCTGAATAAAAAGGAAGAGCTATGGGAGCCTGCAAGTTGGGAAAGGAAGAGGACTGAGTGCCCCAATGGATAAATCCACCGGGACTCACAAGCCTTCCTCTTGTTAGTGTCTATTTCCTGAATTGAATGATGAGACTCTAAGAGTACATTTCAGTTCATTTTCTCCTTGAAGCTACTCTGGGTGCCCAGAGTCTGGGTTTTGCATCTCTAATACATCTTCCTCTGCTGAAGGATAACCAGTAAACAAGCATCAGTTTGTGACATCTGTAACCCTAGCTACTCAGGAGGCTGAGATGTAGGAGCACAGTTTAAAGCAAGTCCAGGCAGGAAAGTCCGTGAGACATTTCATGCCAATGAACTGCCAAAAATCTGACATGGAGCTGTGGCTCAAGTAGCAGAGCAGTAGCCTTGAGTGAAAAAGCTGAAGTGCAAGTCATGCTGTGGAAACTACATAAATAAATAAATGGAAAAATAAAATAAAACTAGTCAGTGTCCCCTGGCGCAGAGTGAAGGCCACAGGCCAGACCCACTGCAGGTGTAAGGACTCTTTGTTGTTGCGTTGAAAGACTGGAACTTGAACTCAGTACCTGATGCTGTGCTCATTGGCTGTTGCTCTCATAACTGAGCCATGCCTCCATCAGTTTAAGGACTCTTTTTTTTTTTTTGGTCGGTCGTGGGGCTTGAACTCTGGGCCTGGGCGCTGTCCCTCAGCTCTTCAGCTCAAGGGGAGCGCTCTACCACTTGAGCTACAGCACCACTTCCGGTTTTCTGGTGGTTTATTGGAGATAGGAGTCTCATGGTCTCTCTTGCCCGGGCTGGCTTTGAACCACGATCCTCAGATCTCAGCCTCCTGAGTAGCTAGGATTACAGGCATGAGCCACCAGCGCCCAGCAGTTTAAGGACTCTTGATAGTTGTTAGCCAGAGGATCTCACAGTGGGAGCACAAGTCAGGCAGCAGGGGCATTGCTGGGAGCCCCTTAGAGGCCCCCAGCTCAGGTCCCAGGCCGGGTCACTAACTCTGAAGGGCGATGCCAGCCTTCTGTGCTTCATCTATCAAGTGGCCCCCTCCCCCAGTCATTCTGGGTCACCCTGAGGTTGGGAACTCCTGCCTCTTCCTCTCTCCTCCCATTTCTTGGGGGATTTTTTCAACATGGTCCACCCAGAGCTCCCTTTTACCATTGTCTTCCTTAAGGAGCTGGTGAACCCAACACCCATTCTCTCCACCCCCAGTTCCCACCGAGACTCCTTGAAGATGATGATGTCACGCAGGGTTTCTGTGAAGGCCTCATAGTAGCCAGAGTCTGCGTTGAGCAGAACGCCGATCATCTGCACCGCCCCGCGGCTCAGGTTCCCCACCTGGATCAAGAACTCCTGCGAAGGCATGCAGGGAGAGAAGACGCACGGGTTAGGAGGTGCAGGGGCCCATAGGAGAGCCCTTGCTCTCCTCCCGGGGTAGCAAGGACAGGGTAGAATGGCAGGTGGCACCGGATGGGCCCCACCAGTGGACTGTGGGGTGCTGTCACTGTTGGTGGACAGGAGTCTCAGGACCAACCTTGGTGGAGAAGGAGTCGTACTTCTCTAGCACCCGGCTGCAGCTACTGGTCTTCAGTTCTTCCACAACCTGCCCAGGGGAGAAGGAGGAAGTGAGGACCATCAGCCCCAGGGAGCCTCAACCCTGCCCCGCCCAGCTCCCAGGATCCAGGCTTCCACATGGGTGTTTGCCTGGGGCACACATTGTGGGAATCCTGGATTCCAGGACTCTCACACACAGACGTGTGCTGATGGTGGACTTTCACCTGTATGGTTGGACACACAACTGACGTGTGAAGGTAAGAGCTCCAGATCCACTATTGGCCTTGGAGTTATGGGGAGTGGAGGTCTTCCTCCTCATTCTGGGTAAGAGGACATTTTTCTGCAGGCCACTAGGGGCGGTGTGGTGGCAGAAGGCCTGGCCCCTCTGAGCTGTGAGCAAGGCTGGATGAGAGTCTGAAAGCTGGACATGTTTATGGGGGCCTGTGTCAGCACACCACTCCTGAAAGGAGAGGACACTTGGCAGAGCCTCCCCTGAGGGCTGCCTGTCCCACAGAGCCCAGCTGCCCCCTGAGGTCACCCTGAGCAATGGGTCCGAGAAGAGAGAGGCGCGGTCCACACTGAGGACATGTCTGCAGACAGGTGGGCAAGCATTCCAGGCAGGGCCATCATCATTCTCACTTAGGACCGCACAGCTATCATGATAATAATTGTCATTTGAGCACTGACACTGTTCTTATCACATTACACAGGTCTTCTCACTTTTTCTTCACAAGTAACCTGGGAGTGAGGATCACAGAAGCTGGAGAAGGGACAAGTCTCTTGCCCTGGATTACACATTTTCAAGCTCAGCGCCTCAGGCCTGTGCCACCACGATGCTTTCACCAGCGACTACATTTGTTCAAGTCGGCATTTGTGGAGATATTTAAGGTCTGACAATGCACAGAGGCTGTTGTGTATGTGGCTCAGGTGAGAGATGAAGGCCAGACATCAGCCTGGAGTCTCAGGGAGGACTTCCCCTCCACTTAGGGGATCAGAGAAAACCCAGAGGATTTTGAGCCAAGTGGCTCTGAAGAAAGTGCCTGTGTCTTACCTTCCTCAGTGATTCATCAAAGAGCTGCTCCGCAGTCTTCCCCACCTCATCTTCCCGCACCTGGTAGCCTAGAAGGCCAGGATCATTTTGCACAGCCCCTGTACGCGCACGTACTCTGTTAACCAGTACCCAGGTCTGATTGTTACAGGGGCAGAACTCCTTGAGGGTCAAACCAAACTTGCTGACAAACTCCCTGGAGAGTCTAAAATGTGAATTGCAGATTATTCAGGAGTGGACATGGAAGCTACCAACCCCTCCCTGCTCCCAGCCCCTGATTTCTGCCTCCCCTGGGTTCTCTGGGGCTACTCCTGTCCTCCTTTCATGGAAGGGATTCTGGGTCCCCTGTCACTCTGCCAGGCTAACTCCATGGGGCTGGGAGGGGGCTGGCTGAGCCAGCCAGGGCCCTCATTCTTGTGGTCACATGACCACAGCCTGGGTTGCTGTGCTAGCCAAGCTTGCTCTCACTTTGAGGTCTGTAGACTTCAGACCTTCAGATGTGGCCACTGCAACCCCTGGAAATCCTATGAAGTTTACACAGGGAGTGTGCACTGGGTTCTTTTTCCCCGGAGGATGCCACTGATAAGTTCTCAAGGCTGAATGTTCCAATCGCCCCTTCCAGGATGACCTGCTCCATCCAGGAGCTCCCATGAGATACCATGGTCTCCCAGAACCATGCTCATAATCCAGTATCGGCTGTGCTTGGCTTTCCAAGGCATGGACCCTTTTGAATGATCCTTCAGCACTCAGGGAAGGTTTAGTTCTATTCTTTATGTGGATTAAGACATTGAAGCTGGGAATGGGTTCTGGGTAAACTTGGAGTTGCAAAATTAGGACAGGGTCCAACTTCTTAGTCTCCAGGAAAAGATACCAGGCACTGATGGGCCTCTTGCCATTGGCATTCTTGGAGATCACCTCTTGGCCTTTCTCATCTGCCTCTACTCCAGGAATCATACCTGTGGTTCGCAGGGATCCTCATGGCACCCAGCTCTATGTACCACTGAGCTCCAGGAACTCTGTGGGTCTCGATTCTGCCTCCTACACGTCCCGAAGCTTCCAGGACAGTCACCTAGATGAAAGAAAGCCATTGACTGGACTCAATAAGGTCGAGTTCCTTCTACATAGCACTCTCCTTCCCTCCTGGCAGGCCCAGGTTTACCACCCCTCCCACTCGGAGCTCTCCCCCTGCTATAGAAGCAGAACACTCACTTTCTGCTCCACTGGTCCAAGTCTGCACCTACACCTGTTCTTTGGTCCTAGCTCTGCTGGGATGCTCCCTTCTCCCCCTGTCCTTGCTCCCAGCCTGCACTCCTCAGGCCCTCACATACCTGGTGGCCAGCATCCTGCAGAATCTTGGCAGCGGTGAGCCCAGCCATGCCTGCTCCAATCACCACTATC